GAGGATATAGACCGTGGAACGTGTCACCCCCAGTACCAACCTTTGGAGAAACTCCTGGGCTCAATGGCAGAACAACTGAAGGGGGATCCCGACGTTTTGGATGATTCAGACGTCAGGAGACATGATGAATATCTGCATGAAGCCTTCCAGCGACTTATTTTCGACTTTATTTTAGAGCACCTCAAAGCCAAAAGCGAATTTCTCGTACTGAAGAAGAACACTCAACGGCGGCGAATAGAAAACGAAGAACCGATGAAACAGCCTCTACCACCCACATTTACCCTCCTTACTACGCACAACCCCACCCCTCATCTGACCAGCGGTCCTACTACCGCTGCCTCCAAAAGAACCCGTAAAGATGGAGATGATGACGATTACAAAGAGCCACCTCGATCCTCAAAAAGGTATGTAGATCGGAATTCGCGGTTGCTTGTAACTGACATGAGGCAGGTTAAGACGTGAAAGCGACAGCTTTTCATGATTCTACGAATAGAATCGAACCTTGCCAAACCCGGATTTAATATTTGCATTCTTTGTCATATGAATGACAAATCTGGTGCATCCTTCCTCCATCTTCCCTTAGAAGCCTCCGTCTACCCGTGGATTCCTTTGGATATACTTTGCACAATATAATATAGAATTTACTTCTTCTCAATTTCAGTGGCTTACTCGCATAAATGATCCGAAATCAATTCGTTGTCGTTTGAACTTAAATCCCCACCTTGACACCGGAGAGGATACCTCTCTATCGACAACTCTCCACCTTGATGTCCAATAACAACTGCTAACAGAGGTACAACTAGGGCACAGCGTTGAAAACTACATGGACATATCTCCCGAGCATTACCTTATCAAAGCCAGCGCAGTGCACGGCTCGAGCGCAGCATACATTATATTGTGGGGCGGGTGAATGTTGTATACGCACAGGTTTCTACTATGAGTGGTCATACCCACATGGTAACAATAAGGATTGAATAAGAGATCCAATCCAATATAAACTAGGACGTGGATTCTCGTCCTCAAGAGATAATCACCTAGCAGACGTGCGATTTTTGGGATAAACCATGTCCTTTAGAGGCCGTAGACACGATAACGAGAGTAATGTGACACTAGATTCGACTTGAGAGGATGAATAGATGTGGTGGCTAATAAGTAAGGTGTGCATGATTGCAGCCCTTCGCCAGAACTTAGACTGGACCGCCATGCCCACATTCAATGACATGAACACAGAAAGTGACAGAAATCCTCTCAATATTACAGAGTCTTCCTCACCGAGGACAGATCAGGGACCTCGTACTAGACCCGCCAAGGGGGGGACTCTCCAAATATGTGGCCCCGAAAGTTGAACACGAGCTGGGGACCAATCAGTTTGGAGAATTCTTGACTTCGACAGCATATCCCGAAGAGACTTTGTTAATTGGCCAAGGATGTTTCGTAAGTACAACGAGTGCTTCCTGGTGTACCTCGCTCCATTGTCCATCATCCAGCTACCACACATATTGCGCCGTATTTTGTGGCAATCAAGCAACCCAAGGGTATGACCAGGATCACGGAAGGAGTCAAAGGGTTATATAGAAGCCGACCTCAATGGAGTATGTTTGAGGCCGTTGGGGAGATCAAATCCCTAACGGGCTCTAAGACCGACGATCAAGATCACTGAGTCTCCTACACTGGTCACCTCCTTCAGGCTCGTCCTGATTGCACCCGAATCTTGGGAATATATGTCAAGGAAGAAGGGTTTCGGCTTGTCGTCAGCAATGCCTGCGGCGTGGTCAATCTGAAGGAGCTCCCTTGGAACGACAAGTGTGCCGTCCAACTCTTGTACGGTTGGATATCCCAACTATATGCTCCGTTTCAAGACCCCTATACCAGAAGGGAACTCGTGTCCGAAGATATCATCACTTTTGAGATCGAGGTCAAATGAATAAAGCGTAGCGGGTCCAAGTTGATACCGACGGGCACAGCTTTTGGACGTCGCTCCACCGTCTTCGATGTACACGGGACGAACCTCTCATTATAAAGTATCAATACATCTCGACAAAAGAACAGCCCAGAGAGCTCGATATTCTATCCGGTATTCATACGAACGGGTCGTTTCCTGGTGTAATCCGAATCGACGCGGTTGCTCTGACAAGTTCCCAAGTGCTGGATATACCTACTAGAAGTCGACGAAAAAATGGATCATCAGCCTCAACTGAACCAGAGAAAGCTCAATCCGTTTCTGCAGAGCCCAAGAGCCAACAGATAGTGGTAAGGCGAGAAAAGCCTGGAATAGGGAAAGGGTGTCGATCCATCACTATAAAGAAACGAAAGGTTTGCCTAGTGATGCAGGACAAAGGCGTTCCAATCATGAAGGTCGCGGCGCCCCTTGAAGTTCTCATTGCGCTCTATGGCTCTAT